ATAATAAATCACGCGGTTGTATACATTTTGTCCATTTACTTCTTATAAAAAAAAATTGTATATGCATTTTCCCTTTTTATCATATTCACTGTCTTAAAAATTAATTTTCTAAATTGCTGTATTAAAATTAAAATTTTTACATTTAGAAATGTAAGAATATTATGAATAATTTGACCTAAGGCAATTACTCATAATATTCATTCTTTTCTAAATGTAGAAATTTTATTTTTAATACACAGTAATTCAGAAAATTAATTTTCAAGACAGGAAGTATGATAAAAAAAGGAAAATATAAACGAACTCGCCGCTCGAGCTTCGTGTTTGTTAGCTGGTGGTGAGACAAGGACGACCGAGATTGATGTCCGTGCTTGTCTAACTAACCTACTCGCATTCCTGCACACAGCACGGAACACAACCATGGACATAGCACGGATCACCACCAAAAGATCGTGGACATAACCGACAAAATCATGGACATTGGCTACGTAGTTCAATGTCCACTTTCCAGAGGCGCTGAAACCAGCTCAATCGTCTATCGCAGCTAAATCGCGAGCATGGCCGCTCTCAGGATCCTCTCTGCTTATAGTCGCGAATGATCGATACGTCGGATACACGTCGCCCCGTGATCTCTCGAAAGTGAGAGGGACGCGCGCCGCCGCCGCAGCAGCGAGCAGCAAATGCACTCGGTTGCACTCGGTCGATAAGGGAGGCGAGGCGAACAGGTGACGACATCGTTGTCATACTCGTGATTTCATAACACGCCATTTTCTTTGTGCGAAGCGCTGGAGCGCGGAGGTGTTTTTGCAGGCCGTGGTTCCCTGGACGAAGTGTGCCCCCCAGGTAAACGCGCCCGCGGCCGTTCCGCACGTCGTCCCCGACGTCCCGCGGTCGACGCGCGATCGACGCGCGGATCGACCGTCGCCCGTCCGCCGCTCGGAGTAACGCTCGCGCTGCGCGTTAGAGTGGTGTCCTGAGGCCCCCGTTGCGCGTGTGACAGGTTTCGTCGGAGGCGTCGAGCAGCGCGCAGTTGGACGGATTCCGCCCGCGCCGCGACGTGTCCCGCCCGTCGCCCGTTACCCTCCCGTCGTCGTCCCGGTCGTCGCGCCGCGAACATTCCGGAGCCCGCGAGTCTCCTCCTCGGGAGTGTCGTTCGACGCGGTGAAATCTCTCGGCCAGAAACCTCTCGCGCTCGAACGGTCTCGGGAAGAAAGTCGTTTTCTCTCTCGCTCGCTCTTTTTTTTTTCTCTTCAGCGAGTGCGTTGTAACGTATATACGTCATTGCCACTCGCGAGATTTCCTCGTTAACGCTGTTAGATGATTCATACGATCGATCGTTCCATCCGGATCGTCTGATCTCTCTCTCTGGTGCGGTACTCGTTGGTCTGGCTGTTTTTTTTTCGGTGCACATGACAAATTAACGCAAATAACGGAAAGGGCACGGGTGGAATGCAATGTCAGAAGCTGATATCCTTCCAATATTTACAATTCAGAAAACACCTGGCACTTGTTCTTCGTCGTTTGAAATTTTTTAAAAAAATCACGATTATTTTAACGTCGAAGCAATAATAATATCTGAATAATAAATTGTAAGCTGTCGAATTGTAGCAAATTAATCTTTACAGGTACAGCTTGTAGTACTTTCAATGTGGAGCATTGAAATTTTAAAATTTTAGATTTGCTTAAAATTAGAAATATAGTGGTATTTAAATTAATTCTAATTTTCTAAATAATATGTGGATTCGATATCTAAAATTTTTATAATATATTTATATAAAAACAAAAATAAATGTCTTGCTTGCCGACATTTTTTCATATATATACTTAAATTTTTATATAAAGCAGTAAATATATTTCAATTTTTTTTAATAGATAGGAATTTGAAGGATTTATATTAATATAAATTTTTATGGAATGACAGTCACTAAAACTTCTTTCTTGCCCATCTGCTTCCTTTGATCCATGAATCATCTACAGTTTGATTAAAGAAGAATCATATTACAATATATGTATACTTGACGATAAGGAAGTCTCGGATTAGTAATGTTTTCTGTATCTTCGCTCCAAACGCTTGTTCTCGCGAGAGTGAATTTTTTTAACATCGCTTCATGTCATTCCAGTAAAGAATGGCGTCCCGCAAGAAAGTGTTGCTGAAAGTCATTATCCTTGGGGATTCGGGAGTCGGGAAGACTTCTCTGATGAATCAGTACGTCAATAAGAAGTTTAGTAACCAATACAAAGCGACAATAGGAGCGGACTTTTTGACCAAGGAGGTGATGGTGGAGGATAGAATAGTTACTATGCAGGTAAATCCTGATGTCCAGTTTTAATCGCCCTAACACATCGCCGCCGCTATTGTGCCTCTAACGGGATTCTTCTTTTACGTCTTAGATTTGGGACACCGCCGGACAGGAGAGGTTTCAGTCGTTAGGAGTGGCCTTTTACAGAGGCGCGGACTGTTGCGTACTGGTGTTCGATGTATCCGCTCCAACTAGCTTCAAATCTCTGGATTCATGGAGGGATGAGTTTTTAATTCAAGCCTCACCCCGGGATCCGGACAACTTTCCGTTCGTCGTGCTCGGGAACAAAGTAGATCTTGAATCCAGAGCGGTGAGTGAAAAAAAAAAATCATTTTGAAATCTCCCGAGATAATTTAACCTTACATAGTTTTGTAAAATTTAATGAACTTATTACACCCGCAATTTGTGTTCTCTTCTACCATTTTCTACATTCTTTCTTTACGTTGTGTTTTCAGGTCTCAAGCAAGAGAGCACAGCAGTGGTGTCAATCTAAGAACAATATTCCATATTTTGAAACTAGTGCAAAAGAGGCTATTAATGTCGAGCAAGCTTTCCAGACGATAGCTAAGAACGCTTTAGCTCAAGAAAGTGAAGTGAGTACATCAGACGCGAGGTGGAACTTTTTTTTTCTTCCTCGATTCGACGCGTGTCGTTCAATCTTATATTTACATCTTCGTGAATTTTTAGGTTGAACTTTACAATGAATTCCCGGATCAAATCAAATTGACCAACGACCAAAGAAGCAACGGCAGGGGTGATTCGTGTGCTTGCTAGGTCTTGGAACAGTGGTAATAACTCGAATGACTAATAAAGAATGCACAGGTCAGATACACTCACGTCACCTGCGGCATAAAGGACGCGGAGAATTATATTGCGATGAGCTTTATGTGTGCAGGAAGTCATGAAATTTCTTTCTTTGTCTCAACGTGTTATTATACAATCTTCCTCTGTGTCCGTAAAAAAAATACGTCTCAATATTCTTGAAATAATTTTGTTGACAGTCACATTAGCGCACGGTATAAAAAAAAACCAAGTAACGAGTTAAATCCATACGTAAAGGAAATGTGTACAAATTATCTCGATATACATATATATATATTATATATATATATATATATATATATATATATAATTGTTTTTATAAACGTGTGTGGGAGTAAGATATATATTTATCCGACTTCCTGACCTCTGAAATATCGCAATTTTTGAATTATGTACTCCCGCTGGACTTGACTTGTCATATATAGGTCCTCTATGTTATTCTTTAATAAGTCAAGGATTCGCATCTCGTTTTTAAGTAATGTAATACGCTCTCTTATCGGGTATGGCGAAACATATGAACTCTATCCTTTCTCTCTTTTCTCTTTTTTTTTTAATCTCAAATCTTGATAGTTTGTTAATTAATTTTCACCGAAACAATAATAGCTTTGAGGTTTTTCAAACTATCAAATATATATATATATATATATATACATATATATATATTTATATAGGAGTCGTTGTTGCACCAGAGAGGATAATATATGGGTCGGGAACACAGTTAGCGGTACACTGTTAGTAAATTATAATAAAAGAATTTGCTCATAATTTGTTAAGTACAATTGCATTTACAGAGGAGCTCTAGTACATATAGCTTATTATACTTAGACAGAACCCGAATATTTGCTGTCAGTAAAAAGTGGTTCGTATGAAATAGAACGAAAATAAGATAAAGTTACAATAAAGTTATTAAGATACTTTGTAGCGTCACGTAAGATGTTTTAAACGAGTTTGAGATTCACGCGAATGGCATGGTGTAAACTCCTCCTTTTGTTTTCTGTTCGGAAAAAAAAATTTTCAATTGTTATATATATATATATATACATATACATACATTGAAATATAAAATTATATTACAAAGATTTTGGCTTGTTGCGCACGTATTATGAAGCTAAACATGTTATTTTGTTTATATTAAATAATTATTTTGAACTTAGGGATGTTTATATGGCCATCCCGATTTAGGAAGAAAAAGAAGAGAATTCGTTGCAGAATTAAGAAAATCTTTCCCTTTCGTTTAAGTTCGATGTATCGTAATGCGTTTTTTTTTTTTTTGCAAAAGATTATACCTTTGAAATTTCCAAGCGTTGCGACAAAGTCCCGAATTCCTCCTCTGAAATGAGATTCCTCTTCTTGTACCGCGATGCACACCGATTTTTAAGATTTTTTACTGTACATAAGACAAAACGGGATCCCAAGTGCGCGGTGAGTTAATCGTCAATTGTATGGTCTATCGAACAGTTCTATATACGCAGACTATATTTTGTAAATAAGCATATATATGTAACCCACTTAGGAAAATTTAACGTTATAAAAAAGAATATGAATCTTTATATATCCTGATAGCCATATCAATAAGTATGCGCTTAATAATATTTTAATTCTACTTATAGTCCTTATTAGAGCGGTAATTAAACGGCGTGTGATATTTATTTCGATGGTGGGAGCGAGCTTTTACATATAGTTCGTGCGAGACATGAGGGAATATTCACATTAATGCTGTATTTCAGATTTTTGTAGTAAAAAAAAAAAGAAAAGAAAACGATTGTGCGCCCATTAAGATGTGTTTAAATGTTTTAAGATTCGATTTCCTAGGTAGAGCGAGAGGGATAAGCATGCTTTTCCGCAGTAGCAACGTAGCACGATAGTATTATGCATCGCGGTACCGGTATAACAGCCACCCACAAGTCGCAAGTCGTTTTTGTTGATTCTCGCTTGTTTGTTTTTGTTTTGTCAGTTTCTGGATTATAATTAGATTTGGTGAAAAAACTTCGACTTCGCCAGGGGCTTCTAATCCCCTTTCTCTATTACGTTCGCTTAACAATTATACGGCCATCAGCGGGCGCACTGATTCTGTCGATGCACCAATTTATTTTCCGTGCGAGTCTCCTCGTCGCAAAATGTCTAATAATTGACTTTACATACATCCACATCCGACATCTAAATCCACTTGGGAATCTTCACCAAGGAAACAATCGAACTCAATTATTGATACCCGCTATTTCTGGGCCACCCTGTGTATATGTAACATTCTTATGAAATAAAAATTTGGCGTATGAAAGATATGCATACGCAGGGTGTCCCAATAATCGTGCATGTCCTCTAGACACTTTATGCCGCCGAGTAAATGATGATTAGCTGTATCGATAGCTTTTGCTAAAACGATTAACGTTTGACGGGCTCCTGATGAGAGATTCGGGAGCTCCGGAGATACACGGATGAAAATAAAAATCTAACAGACTTCTAATATTTAAGACGCAACCATCAAGATATTTGATATGTGTGAAGTGTAATAGATGTAAAGGGCGAAGTCCAATCGAGCTTTCGTTACGGAAAAAAAAGTTGACTTTTAAACTTGCCGAAGAATCAACGGAGAAGGTGCGCGATTTCTTGAGACGCTCTGTATATAAACAATATACTATAATGACAGTGCGAAAGAGTTCGCGCTGTCAAGTGTGCTTTCATGGGTCTACGCATATATACGTATGCACGTGTATATAAGTGAAGATAATCATGACCACGGCGATTATAATTAATGATATGTATAATTCTATCGAAGTATGTTAATGATAAATATAATTATAAATAATACTATTGTTATTATTGCTGCCGCTATTGCTGTTGTTGCTGTTACTCTTTCCATTACTACGATTAATCCCTATGCAGCTAATATTGCCAACAATACGTTTAACAGTTAAAATTAAATTAATCGAATGTAAGTCTTCTGATATAATTTTTATTTTCAATATTTCTGCTCTATGCGGTTACGATCCGAAGCGACATTGTTTTGATCGTACAACGAATATAAAAACGATTCAGTCTAATTACATGATATTTACCGAGAAAAAGCACATAACGCTAAATAAGAAGCTTTCTTATTCGAATCAGAAATATTGTGGCCTGTTTTAAAGATAAAAGACCAATGCGTTTAATGTTTTAATTCATGTTTTTAATGGAAAACTAAGTACGAATTAAAAAAATACAGTTAGACTCATCGAATTTTCGAAACGATTATTATTAGACTTGAGGACAATCGGTGGTAAAGCAGTAGTCGACTTGCCAGGATTTTACATTATTAATTGGAACGGTTTGTTTTCAGCTGCATTTCTTACGCAAGTTTCAGTAGAGATAACGACATTCGTGCTGGAAGTGCGTACGTCAGCGGTGGTCTTCGTGATGCAACTCCTCACGGTTATAATCATTTTTCCGTATGCGGCTGCCACGGCAGCTCCCACTTCCTTGGCATTACCGGTAATACGTTTCAGCGTTGCTCTGCTAAGGTAAAGATCCTTCATGACACAGGCTTGCATTTTAAGAAAGTTGCGAGAGTAACAGTTCGGTATGATGGCGTCCAAATCGGTCAGTAATTTTTCCGCCGCCTGAAAAAATATTTTCGAAAAGCTAAAATGTCTGATGTAAATATATTATATTACAATTTTGCATAATCGTGATTACAATGAAAAAAAAATGTTTTCATAATTGTAATAAAGAATCAAATAATCAATTGTAGAAATAATTAAAGAATTCTGATAAATGATGAAAAATTTTTTCAGTAATTTTTCCGCCGCCTGGAAAGAGATTTTCAAAAAGCTAAAGTGTCTGTTGTAAATATTACATTACAATATTTGCATAATCGTGATTACAATGAAAAAAAAATGTTTTCATAATTGTAATAAAGAATCAAATAATCAATTGTAGAAATAATTAAAGAATTCTGATAAATGATGAAAAATTTTTTCAGTAATTTTTCCGCCGCCTGGAAAGAGATTTTCAAAAAGCTAAAGTGTCTGTTGTAAATATTACATTACAATATTTGCATAATCGTGATTACAATGAAAAAAAAAAATGTTTTCATAATTTCAGTAAATTAAAGAATTCTAATAAATGATGAAAATTTTTTTTATCATGAATTATGAAAATGACAGTTACCTCAATACTGGTCGCTACGTTTGCCAATGGGCCTTCCATGGCTGTTCGGCCGTTGTCGACGCACGTATCCAATTCAGCATTCGCATTTGTGTTTTTCGTCTCCAAATTATTCCTTGCAGAATAGTAACACTCGTCCACGTTCTTACCCTCTTCTCTTCCCTTGTTGATAGATAGCTAGAAAAGTAATAAATATACATTTTATACATGAATATATTTCCCATAATTCATTTAAAAAATTGATACTGCGACGCTGACTTCGATGTTGTAATTATAATATTAATTGTAATTCTTCTTGTACGACTCAACAACGTGCATGTGTGTTTGTCTTCTCCTTCATCTCCATTAAATATGAAAAAAAAAAAGAGATACTTACATTGACATCTTTGAGTGCGTCAGTGATAGAATTATGAACCTCAAGGGCAGCTTCGGTTTTCAGTTCGTTAAGTTTTATCTCCAGTTTCTGCGTTGTTTGCTCTTCCAAAAGTAACAGACCGTCAAGTACAGCTTTGGTAGCTACCTTTTCTACATTCACCAATCGCTCGAGACCGCGCATAGGGTCTCTTATATCTTGGTGAAACGCCTTAAAAAATATATTGTATGTATAAATATATAAACTTATTAAAATATAATATAAACAATTTTCCTGATGTATTCTCTTAAAAGAAAAGAAAAAAAATTATGTCTTTATACTTTAATTCTAAGAATTATTTAATAAATGTAAGATGGATATAATTTTCAATCTTTTAAGACAAGATATCGATGAAATTTTGATCTAAGAGAGCGCATGAATGATCGATTATATTCTTTTTAAGTTTATTTTAGAGCGACTAAATTTAAATTTTTCCTCTTAATAAAAAAATTAATTCGTTGCGTTAAATATAATTTGTAGAACTCACATAAACTGTGCACAGTAGTGCCAAGATGCAAACGACGTTCCTCATTTTGCCGCTTGACCGATCACGTTGAAGAAACGAGATTCTTTCACGATGCCGTTACTTCCATTCCATTTTTATATCCAGAACAGCTAACGATAACGAACGATAATGATATTTCTCAATTTTATTAATCAAAACAGAGATATAATCTGAATGATATCTAACTGAAATCATTGTCAATAAGTGTAAATGCTATCGAATATGTTAAGTATGTTTCGGGACTGCCACTTGTTATAACAGGAAAACTGTACTTTCGAAGGAATTTTATAATTAAGAAACATTTTGGATTTGTCGAATTTGTCTCAATGTTTGTCTCTGACAAAAGATCAATATGTCAGCTTTCGATCTTAGGAAGAAAAGCATTTTTGCATTTCCTGGAAAGAGAAAAATAAATATTAGTATATCAAATACTACGACTATCAAGATGTGATAAGAAATTAGAAGTCTTATATATAGTAGTCTAGAAAATAATTTTCAAATTTTCCAAATCTTTGACCGATAATTATACTGGTTCTTACACACCGGTTATACCGGTTCTTATTTAAGTATATAGTCTTAAGATGTCACAAACAAAAGAAAAATCGTATTAGTATCTTAAGACATTATTTAAAACAATCTTAAATATAAGAATTGACTATGGAATACCGGTATATGTTTTCCGATTAAATCATCTTTCACCTTTCTTCGATCAATATTTAAAGATTATAGAAAGTATAAAAAAAAATTGTAAAACTTATTTTTTTATGTAATGTACGAATAATATAAATAAAATATAAAAGATAAAACTATGAAAAAAGAAAGATTAACGAATCTATATGGCAAAAATGATCGTATGATCGTTAAAAAGTTTGTCAATTACAAATTAACAGATTGATTTCTATTTTCCTAAAACTAAAGGAAACTCATTAAAAAAAACTCAAAAAAGTATATAAGATACATTAATCATATGTGATAAGTTAATCAGACACTTCTAATCCTGTGCACTTTGTACTGATTGAAAAATATAGTATTTTTCCTTTGTACTCTGCTCCCGGGTCACGCTGAACGATAACAATCTGTTTATGCCTAATAAAGTCTTATATAATGCTGTTCATTACAAAAATAAATTTACTTTTCATTAATCGCGTATATATAAATAAATTAATTTTTTTTATATACAGCGCTATAGAAACGTAATCAAAATTTATGCCATTTAAAATGAAATATTGATTGCGTACATTTTTGGTTATGACAATTAATTATTTTTACTACGTTATACCGAAGAAAATTGCACGAGATGATTGCATATTTAACAGAGATCTATCAATGTAATATAAATGGATTGCACATACAATATATATAAATGCGAGCTCTTTTCATGCAGCGCTACGTGCCTACTTTATAGATTTAAAAGTGCCAAAAATATTTCCGTAGACATAGAATCTATTAAAAAATTTTAGAATACAATTTAAAAATTTTGATACACGGTATTCTTAAATTTTTGAAAAGATCTTACATCTATGGAAATATTTTTGAAATTTATAATTTTTATAATCTTGCACTTGAAAAATCATAATTTATTTCAACAGGCAATGTCCAGGGTGGAGTCGAGGATGGTTGAAGAGGGGCCAACAAGTATGAGCCACAAATAGTTCATACGAGGTAAACTCATCGTATGAACTATTTGTGGCTCATCCTTGTGGCCTATGCGCGATCAGTCTAGAATCTTGTCATGACGAGGTCTTCTCCTTCTTCTTCTTCTTTTAGTTGCCTATGGATTTCAGATTCCCTGACGAGGCCTTGACGAAGTTTTTTGACGAAGGTCGTTACCGGCTTAAGAAATTTATAATTTTTCTAATCTTGCATCTGAAAAATCATAATTTATTTCAACAGCAGTTTAAATGAGATTTTCTGTTATCATTTATCATTAATTTAATCTTTTAATCCATAATAAAATTTTCATTAACGATTTAAAGTCCGCGATACATTAAAATCAAAGTACAGAATGAAGCTCGATAAGTATCGAATGCGCGTATATTGAGATCGGTAGATTTAATATTAAGATAAATCGCGCGGTTACTCAACGGAAAAGCCGACGTTTCTGTCAAAATGGGTATCGTCCAAGCGCTTATCAACAAACGCGACGAGCTCTTCATGACCCCGGTAAATCTGGACGAACCGCCATGCGTTCCCTGCTTCGAGGATGTGGACTGGAAGCCCGGCAATCCCAGCAGCTTCGAGGACCTTCACGCGAAAACCAAGGACCTCTATCCGCAGAACTTCGAGGGCGCGTACCTGCTGCTGAGGAAAGTCCTGAGCAGGCACTTCAACGTGACTTACAAGCTGACCCTGAGCTCCGTGACGCCGTACGGCCTCAAATTCGGCGTGAATTACGTCGGCTCCAAGCGGGTGGGGCTCGTGGAGCGGTACCCGGTGATCTCGGGCGAGATCACGCCCGCCGGCAACATGAGCGCTGGCTTCATGCACACGTTCGGCTGCAGATACCGATTCAAGTTCGCCACGCAGATCGTCGGCAAGCGGTACAAGGCGTTCAGCTCCGGTCTGGAGTACCGCTCGGACGACTGCACCGTGGCGCTCACCCTGGCGAATCCGGACCCCGCGAGGCTGCACGGCACGGTGGTGCTGCACTACCTGCAGGCGATCACGCCGAGGATCACCCTCGGCACGGAGATCGCGTGTCTACGCGGTTCCCTGATACCCGGCGGCCAGCAGACGGTGATGTGCGCCGCCTTCCGGCACAGCACCGGCCCCAGCACGCTCTCCGCCACGTTCGGCGAGGCCGGCATCCACGTGTGCTACCATCGGCAGGCGAGCGAGCAGCTGCAGCTCGGCGTCGAGATCGAGACGAACACGCGGATACAGGAGTCCGTCGGCACGATCGTGTACCGCCTCGACATCCCGTACGCGGACTTCGTCTGCCGGGGATTCGTCAACTCGGAGACCAGCATAGGCGCCGTGTTCGAGAAGATGCTGCACCCGATTCCCGGGGCCTCGTTAGTCATAAGCGGCTTCCTGAATCACAAGAAGCAGCAGTTCCGCGTCGGCGTCGGCCTGAACATCGGCTAACGACGTTCCTTAACATCGTGACCGGGACTTAAACACGACAACAGTACTGTATACCGCAAATTTTGGACATTTTCTCAGAAACGCTGCTTTCCTGGTAGAATTTTAGAAGCTTTTATTTCAACGTATCCCGCTCGGATAGAGAGAAGATAAGCCGAAATAAAAAGTTTCTCGTATGTCCCTGAATCAGCCTAAAGAAAATCGTTTTCCAAAAGTTTTGAACGTATTTATAAACGTCGCATATATTATAACACGATTTTGATATGCACTTTTACATGACGAGGGAATATCTACGCGCGGCAACTATTAAATACTTATATTGTTAAGACGGTTTAGAATGCAAGTCTTTTTACAATAACACCAAACGCAATTATGTAATCCAGTTAATTAATTTCAATCTCACTCATTGATGTTTTATAGAATGTATTTTTGTTTGTTATAAATAAAATCATAAACATTTTTTTATAATTGCGATATTTAAACAGTAGTGTTCTGTTGGATTTTTTTAAATAGACATCGAGAAGACAAATCAATTGCTCTCTAATCATCTCCGTTAGCTATTCGTTCGTCTAAATTGTCCTGTTCCGCGTGCAAGGCCATAGACTTCAACTTATCGAAATTCGCTTCAAACTTATCGTTAAGAAGTCCATTTTCGTCGGCGTATTCTAAGATATCACAGATCAACGGTGATTCGACTCCCAGAACGTATTCGCACGTTTTTGGTTCCAATAAAAATAACGATACACTAGATGGGCTTGCGGTATGGTTCTCCACACATTTCAATTTCACCTAAAACAAACAATGGAGAGTGTGTAAAATTATCAAATTTTCACAAATTAGTATGATATTTATAAAAAGCCATTTTTTATTTGGAAGATCAAAATTTAGAAACTTCAGAATTTTAAAAATTACGACAGAAAACTGACATCTTAATTTAAAAAGACGATGTTTTTAGCGGTTATTAAGAAAATGCCAATTTGTCTTATTGTAATCGATAAAAATATGAAAGTTATCAACAACAAATTAGTATGATATTTATGAGAAGCCATTTTTTGTTTGGAAGAAGATCAAAACTTAGGAATTTCAGAATTTTAAAAATTGCGACATAAAACTGACATCCTAATTTGTAAGGACGATATTTTTAGCGATTATTAAGAGAATTCCAATTTGCCTTATTGTAATCGATAAAAATATAGAAGTTTATAAATTTATTGTAAACCGAAAATAGAAGATAATTCTTATCTTTTTCCAAAACAAACAATATCTTTCAAGCTCAATAACAACGGCGTACTTCGGTTTGCCTAGAAGTTCCAGTCTTATCACAGCTACTACCGTCGCTGTAAAAGTGTGAGAGGTGCTTCCTCAACTCCAACGGTTTCGGTTTCTTGTGCGGATGCGCGGCAATCCAGTCCAAATGCTTCTGCTTGTCGAATCGACCAAGATTAACGATCGTCTTCGTACCATCACGTTCTATGTGGTACTGAACGACGGAACGCCCGTAACAGAACTCGTATTTCCACCAGCCGTTGCCCTAATAAGCGCATCGTTAAAACGTCGTTAAAAAAAAAAAAAAAACGTTTATTGAGAACAAAACGGGAGATAACTGTATGAATACTTACTCCGTGCAGGCAGTTCTTTCCGCTGAGGAAATTCTGAACAGGACTGACTTCGGCAGGGCTAATATTCTGATCAGTCGGTATTGCACTGACCGAATCATCAATATTACCGTGTTTCTCCGCGACGTCCAGTGGATGTATCTCAACCCTCACTCTAGGCTCGCCGTCCTGCAATCAGTTCATTACAATAGATCTTACGCGAAATTACATAATACTTTATACAAGGAGCACCCCAATTTCTTTCTTACGTGATTATGAAAAGGATCATTATCGTGCATGTATACAATTACTGTGCAAACTGTAGCATGATATAATGGATTGATTCAAGTGCATACGAAGTGACTGCGTATTATCATTACGTTTCTCACTCAATATAACGTAGCAATGATAAACGACATTTATGTAATTGCACAATGTATACAATAGCTAGCGAGAGATAGGCTGCGACCGGGGAGCGCGCTGTCGGCGCGCTATTATATTTTATCTTTATCGTTAATTAGACGTAAAAACAAGGACGACGAAATTATGCGATAATCGCTGTAATAGCACGCTCCGCGAACGCAGTCGTAAGAGGATAAGAAATTGCATCTTATATAATTTTACAAATGCCGAAAGGGACGAATTAAGACGTCGGTGATGTAACAGCGGACAACGTGTGTCGGAATATGTAGATAAAGAAGGGACAGAATGAAAAAGTAACATCCGCACAAGCTAATGGTACTACGTAAATGATCAACAAGCGTTAATCCTGCTCCCCATATTATGCAAAATATTCTGACCTGGCCCTCCTTATCTACATGAAGGATTGCAAACACTTTCTGCTGCTTGTCATCCTGTGCAACAAATAATTAAGACAGTAAATAAATGGCAAACGAAACTGAAATAAAAAGAAAGAAATCAAATGTCTATAGCGTCGGAGAACTAAAAAGTTACACAACGCCGTTAGATCGCGATTATTTATCGAAATTATACAAGCCTTAAGGGGGTCTCACCACCCCTTAAAATGATACCTAAGTTTAGGAATTTTGTGGGTAAATGGATAACTTTATTTAAAAGCTGTTTAGAGGACATTATTGTACATATATAAGAAACTAAAAAAATATATTTTTATTTTTTATGTACAAAATGGCGGCGCAATGGCCTACTTGCGAAATCCTTTTTCTGTTTTTTTTTTTTCAAATCGGTGTACAGGATTCCAGACACACGGTTTGATCTTGAACAAAAATGAAAATTTTTTGTTTTGTTCAAGGCTAAACCGTGTGCTTGGAATCCTGTACACCGATAGAAAAAAAAAGAGATTCCGCAAGTGTAGGCCAATGCGCCGTCATTTCGGACAAAAGAAAAATAAAAAAAAATTTTTTTGGTTTCTTATATATGTACAATATAATGTCCTCTAAGCAAATTTTAAATAAAGTTATCCATTTACCCACAAAAAACTTAGGGTATTATTTTAAAACCTCAGGGATGATGAGACCCCTTAACTAAATCCAAGTCAACTAATTTAGAGCATAGAAGCGTGTGTTCTCTACATTACTATGTGAAATTTTCAGATTTAAAATTATTTAACAATTTTTAAGACTTAAAGATTTTAGTGAAACACACAAGCCTCTGCTATTATCGTTACTTTTACGCTTGATTAAAACGCTTGACTAAATTGATAAAAAATTAAAAAGATACAGCTGCTAGTACGCGTCAACAAAATATAAGTATGCGCTATTAAATAATATCTCAAGGTAGAAAGAAGCTTAAAAAAAGTCTGCAAACGTCAAATACTCCTTGAGGATTTACCCTCGCTTGCTGATGTCGCATCTTTAGACTTTCCAGCTCCATCATCATAAGCGACTTCGGTTTCTTCGGCGCGTTATCCACAGGCTGGCACGTAATTTGATTCTCCCCGGTGTCCTGCGGCTTGTAATCGGGATGATTGCACAATACCGGCGACAGTACGATCGCCTCGTATTCGCAGGTCATGGTCTCCTTCAGCGAATACACGTCGTGTTTGCCGTGCTTGTAACAGACGTACAGTACCTTGACGGATCTCGGCTTGTTGTTCAAGTCGCACATCGTACCGTCGGTCATCTCGATCTCGACGTACGGCATGTTGATCCCGTCGATCTTCTTGATGGGTATATTCAACTTCCTGTTCGGATTGTTCGCCTGTTCGTCGTAGTAGGCCGAGAGCTTCAGCTTTTGCGCCTTGTCCAGCGTGCCGAGGTAATACTCCTGCATCTTGATCTTCTTCCCCTCTCTGTCCTCATGGTACTGCCGTACGTATCTACCGTGGCACAATTCGTACGTCCAGTATGACTCTAGCTATGTGTCAGAAAATTCAATTTAGATAAGAAACGGCGTGACAAGTGATTTCCATAATGTACAACAAAAAGGAAGAGCACCTTGTTTAAAAGATCCGATAGAATTAGTTAAGAAGAAACCTATACAATTCTATTGTATTTTTTGGTTCATAAATATCAGATTTATCATTTTTATTCTATTTGGTATATAATTTAAGTCATCTTTAACTAATGTTTATCTCTGATCATATTTAGCCAAAAAATTGATATTATTGTACATATTTTCAGTTTATGTATGATTTATTATATATTTTAATTTTAGAGATTTTGTCTTTTACATATAAGTAATTTTAATAAGTATTTCTTGCAAATATAATAATATGTAACAAATCATAATTTTTAGTTTAAATCAGATAACTCGATAAATTGTACTTAAAAAAAAAACATACATGTTCAGATTTGTATTTAATGTTTAGGTAAGATATATGTACTATTAAGAGAACCGACAGAAATAGATAGAACTTCTCAATTAGCTCAAACGTGAGCTGATTGAAACGATAACTTTATTATAAAATTACAGATAAACTTTACTATAAAATACAGATAAAATTTCAGTAGATTATCAATCTATTTCCATCATTATCTGTCGGATCTCTCTTGAGCGGGGATAAACAGATTTACGTGAGTGCCTGGGGTGCCGCGATACTCACCCTATAGGAGCAGCTGTTCTGAGCAAATATCGGCTGCAGAAGCTCAATCGGATTCGGCCCATTGTACGTCTCGCTGTACTCGTGCTCCTCCTCCGTCGCGTCCGGGATGACGCATCTGTACCGCTCGTTGCTGGCGGTGGTTATGAAGTACGGCTCCGCGTTCGGGTGCGGCTCCTGGAAGAGAGAAAGCCGGGCGGAGCACACGTCGGACAAAAACGACGATACCGTCGCTCGCGAGCCCCACGGCGATCGATTGTTGCGGACGAGATCGTGCCGGGTGTACTCACCAGCAGCTCCGCGTCGCTCTTCCCGGCCCAGTTTATCTTGAATATGACCGTGTCGTCGAAGTGCCGAAAATCGTGGCCGCGCACGAGGGAGACGAGCAACACACACAGCCCATTATACACGCCCCAGTAGTTACCCCACATCTTTCCACACACACACGGGCTATTCTATCATGTTTTGATCGCCGCGTATACCAGTCATGTGCGTCAAACGTGGGCTACAGTTGACACTGTTGACAGGTTGCGCTGCGCTTCGTGTCGTGTCCGCTCGCGATTGCCTGCGACGTCGGCAGGTGGAGAGGTGCGGGGAGAGCGAGGCGGGCGAATCAGCAGCGAGGAAAAAAAAAATGCTACGATCGGTAAATTTACGGAAGTGCGTAACGTAAAGCCGCTGTCGCATTGTGCGCGACTGTGCGCGCGACCGGCCGGCGCGTCCATCGAGCGAGTCGATTGGCTCGCGAAACAGCTGGACCCTTCTCAATTATATGTTTATCTTAGGGCGACGGCACACGAGAGGCGGAAGGCGGAAACGGAACGGAAGCGGAGACAAAGCGGAGCCAATCATAGCTCTTCCGCTGATTTCGTTCCGTTACGCTAGAATTGTTTCGCTAGAATCAGCGGAATAGCGGAATAGCCACGCGGATAACCTTTCTTTTACGTGCAACAGTGAACAAGACCGGCAAGATGGATTGTGGAGAAATTGTACGTAATAAAATATACTTAATTAACTGAATTAATAACATAATTGTTAGTTGAATAACTATGCTGGGTTACGGTCCTCAAATGTCACGCTTGTTTATCAAAGGATTCCGGCTCCATATTCCGCTGATTTACTTCCCTAATGTCCCACGGAGCGGAAAATGTACAAGCGGAATCAGATTTCAGCCAATCATGAAACAATTGTATGTAAACGTTTAATATTACTTTAAATAATAAATGCATTTTATTGTTAGCAACTTATCATATATTCTATTTCATGTTCTTATATTTCCATAACAACACTTTTTACATCAAACCTAATGCAAATAACATACAAATACTTATTTTAGAGTACATCACGTGATCCGCTTCCGCTTACATTCCGCTTCGTGGGACATTAGAGAACAAGAAAAGACGGAACGAAATCAGCGGAAGAGTCTAAAATTGTCCGAAAAACTCTAGAAATTCGGACACGTTTCAGAGTTTTTCAGAGATTTTTTCAGTA